GATGGATCAACCAAGGAGTAACCAGAAAGCAAGTTAAAAATGATGGTCCAGATTACATGTAGATCACGATTCTGGCGGGAATTTGATGTAAAGATTCAAACTCATGGAGGTTTTTCGTTTGGCTCGTCGCAAAAAGATGGGCAATTGATGCATGCAGAATCTAGTAAATCATTATGGTCTGGCAATCACAAAACGGTAATCAGAGATAAGAACGCTGAACGTTTGAGTGCTTCAACTGCTACTGATGATATGGTTGCAACTTGGAGACGGAAAAGTAGTGATTCGTCAAGTTCTCGAAGTTCCGTGAAAGAAAATAATGAAACGTCCATAAAATCTGTAAACTCATCTCCCTCTTCTCTGTCAAATTATGCTTGCGAAGAAAGAAAGCATGCTGATAAAGAAGATGATAGAAATGATAGCAGTGAAAGAGAGGATGACCATGTGACAGCACTTGATGATGAAGAGGCTGTGGCTGTCCAAGAGCAAGTTAGACAAATTAAGGCCCAAGAGGAAGAGTTTGAAACCTTTGACCTCAAAATCGTGCACAGAAAAAACAGGTAAGATTTCTCCCCGACTTTTATGGTTTGAACTATAACAGTTTAATACGTTGATTTTTTCGCTTTATATCCTATTTAGGAGAGCATGCCTTTCTGAATCTCTGGTTAAGTAGAAGGGTGGATAGTATATTAATTGAACTAACTACATTGCTTCAGTATTGTATTGCTCAGGGAGTACTGAGTCCAATGTCAAAAAATATGTGAATATTTATTTTCTTCTGACAAATTATACCCAAGATTAGATTAGTAGAATTTTTTATATCGTCCTATATTGCTGAGTGCTGCTCTCATATTATTTGTTTGCTATTATTTATCAGAACTGGTTTCGAAGAGGAAAAGAACTTTCACGTGGTTTTAAATTCGGTCATTGCTGGGCGTTACCATGTCACTGAGTACCTCGGATCAGCAGCGTTCAGTAAAGCCATCCAAGCGCATGACTTACAGACAGGAATGGACGTCTGTATAAAAATTATAAAGAACAACAAAGACTTCTTTGACCAGAGTCTTGACGAGATAAAACTTTTGAAGTATGTTAACAAGCATGATCCTGCTGACAAATACCATCTTCTCCGGTTGTATGATTACTTTTACTACCGGGTAAGTCCTCACGTCTCTGTTGCACAGTGCTAGAGCATTTCAAAATGGACCAGTTGTGTAACTTTAGGAGAGGTCGGAACCAATTTATCAAGTAAGAAATGTTAGATGTTGTGGTATTACCTTCTGAGAAATTTGATGTATTGCAATTTATGGAAATAAATGGGGTCATGGAATACCAATTAGGTTTGTTGGATGGAGAAAGGTAAAAGGGAAAGGAAGTTCTCATAAACAAAAGTATCATTCGACAGTTCTCATATGAAATATACGTTGTTCTGGAGAAAAGCACTCTTTCCATCTTCATAATGTTCTTTGTTTACTTGAGATTTTATGCTAACAATCGTGAAGTTTCCCACCGATGAAATACGTACATATCTAGTTCTTCATGAGTCATTTCATGGAGTCATTGGAGCTTATTCCAGATTTGATCAGCATGACCTAAGAGATACTTATAGTTCATGTAATCATTTCATAAGATAGTTTTTGCTTTGTCGTTGATGTTATGAGCTCTTCAAGCTGTGCATTCATCTCTAAATTAGCGTCTTTCTCTTCAAAAGTTTTAGCCCCTAAGAAATAATGATTTCCTTGGCTGTATTTTGTAGGAGCATTTGCTAATTGTATGCGAACTTCTTAAGGCCAATCTATACGAATTCCACAAATTTAACAGAGAATCAGGTGGTGAAGTTTATTTCACAATGCCAAGATTGCAGGTTTGTCCGCTTCATCATTACCATTTAACATAGGTACATGTCTAGCCGATTCCTGATCTCTTTTGGACCATTTTGTACAGTCAATCACTATCCAATGCCTCGAAGCACTTCAGTTTTTGCATGGCCTTGGACTTATACACTGTGATTTGAAGCCTGAGAACATTTTGGTGAAAAGCTACAGCAGATGTGAAATAAAAGTCATTGACCTTGGAAGTAGCTGTTTCGAGACAGATCACCTATGCTCTTATGTCCAGTCGAGGTCATATCGAGCACCAGAAGTCATTTTGGGACTTCCTTATGATAAAAAAATAGACGTGTGGTCTCTTGGGTGCATTTTGGCTGAACTATGTACAGGCAATGTAAGTTCTGCATTTTCCATTGACTCGGTCAATTTCGGATGTCATTGCTTTAGCATATCATTTTAATCCAAAATATTTGGAAGTGAAACCACATTTCCACATCGATAAACCTCTTGGGTGGAATTTGGCTGAACTATGTACGGGCAATTCTTTCATTTATGCAAACTTTGCTGGAGTTTGGAAAAGCTAGACTGTGGTGGATTGGTTGTTGATTTTGTGGAGTTACTTTTGCAGGTTCTTTTCCAGAACGATTCTCCAGCCAGTTTGCTTGCAAGGGTTATGGGAATCATAGGATCGATCGATCAAGAAATGCTTACCAAGGGACGTGATTCCCACAAATACTTTACAAAAAACCGAATGCTCTACGAGCGGAACCAGGTGAGTGTGTTCCAGAGACCTTAAAAGAACATTCCCTGAATGCCAAAACTATGAAACTCTTAACGTTTAGAAGCATATACATAATCTGTTAATAAGAACATTCTCTCTAAAGAAAAAAAAAAATGATATCATGTTTCAGGAAAGCAGCAGATTGGAGTACCTGATACCTAAAAGAACATCCTTGAGACATCGGCTTCCAATGGGAGACCAAGGATTCACAGACTTTGTGGCTCATCTTCTAGAGATAAACCCAAAGAAGCGTCCCTCTGCATCAGAGGCTCTCAAGCACCCTTGGCTTTCATACCCCTACGAGCCAATCTCTGCTTAAACTCCTGAAAACAACAGAGTGACTTACTGTGGCTGTAGAAAAAGCAGCAAAAACCGGTTGATTAGTGTATGTACAAAGGTTCAAGGCCCCTTTGGTGCGTGCGTGACCCTTAATGTAAGTTTTTGTTTCCGTTGTGGCTGCTGTATTCTTCATTCAAAGGTTATCTGAGTGCAAAGGTGAGATGAGAAAAGAAGAAGAAACTTTTGTGAGATTTGATTAGATGTAACATTATGTTGTCAAACTTGTGATTATTATTCTCTTAGAACAGATTGTAGTAAATCTCTTTTTTAGTCCTTTGATTATTATTCATGAATGTTTTCCTTGATCTAATATGTATTTTTTGTTACAAAGCTATGTTGAGTCCGATATAAAACGGCTTTAAATATTAAATCATAAGTGGTAAGAAAGTAATAAGTAAAAAGGATAGTGTATAAACCCAGTGCAATCCAGGTTCCAGGATTTTGCAATGTAGTTATGAAAATTATATCATTAATTGAAGGGCCCTTAATTGAATTTGAAACATTGAAAAGCTTAAAAAGAAATTGATTTCTCAAATAAAAAAAAAGCGAAAAAAGAGGAAGAAGAAGAAAATGAAGTTGTGAACAATTCCGTCGGTCAGGGAAGCAGAGGGAGTAATTGATTCCGATGACCACTGTATCCGGCGCCGTCGTCTCATCATTCGTAGCTCCTCCGCTTCGTTGCACATTCTCTCGTCATCATCCGAGTCTGACCAAGCTCTCTCTTCAAGTACTCTTTCTCTCTCTCTACCTTATCTCACTCTCTCAGAGGCTGCTTTGTTTAGGTTTCATTTTCCCACCTTTCCTTTTCTCTTCGGTTTTGATTGTGAAGATTCCTAGAGCCGTCTGGTTGAGGAAACAGCGAGGGTTTTCTTTAGCGGCGGCGGCGGCGGCTTCAGAATTGCCATCGGAAGGTAGAATGATTTTAGTTTGGAAGTGATTCACTCGTTTTCTTCCGTACATTGCACTAGCGTTTCTATGAATGTTGGGGTTTTTTTTCCAGCCACCTATGATCCGGAGCTCCGTTTGGTTTTCGAGCTCGCCACCGATTCTGAGTTGTATGAGCTCGAGAATATCCTTTTTGGTCCCAGGTGAATTTCAGAAGCTATGTAGTGTTCTAGTGATTTGGCTGTGGAAGAAACTCAAATTCAAAATCTTAGTTTCTGGAGACTCAGCACAGATCTGATGATGTTGTTTCTTTTGATCTGAGTAACGTTTTGAAAATGGCTTATGTTTGGTGAGCAGCTACTTCAGCCCTCTCCTGAAATCAATTCCAAACAAAGGAGGAAGTGACCGACTAATGATAGGCCAAGACATTGAGGTGCGAGATGGTTTTATCAAAGCTCTTGAGTCGAGATTCTTGTTTCTCGCTGCAGATGCTCGCTCAACGCTTAGGTAGGCTTGCTTGTTCTCTCCTTGACTTTAGACAATCAAAATAGCTTCTTGTTATGGGCTTCGATAGGATGCAAGATAGGGTATTTAAGTTCCAAATGAAGTAGATATGAACCTTGATTTTGTCTGGAGTAATGTGTTTCATTGACTCTTTTGGAACTAATCCATTATCTACTTGCTATGAGTCTTTCATTGTCTAGGGGTTGGAGACCTTCATACAGAAACGTTTTACTTGCGGTGAGAGATAAGTTGAGTATTCCCTGCTCCAGCCAATTGCCAACAGAGGACCTAGAAGCAGAGATTTTTCTTTATCTTGTCGATAATTTCTCGAGGTATTTTGGGTGACTCATTCGTTTCGCTGTAAGCTTTTTCAGTTGAGTGAGTTCTTTTGTACTCCTTTCTTCGGCTGAACCTCGTAACTTATACATATAGTGAAGCATCAGGGATTTTTCCAGGCTTGTGGGAAAATTCTCAAGCATCAAAGGTAAAGGGAAGCTTAGAACTCGGGCTCAGTAAGTGGAAAGTTGAACTACTTGCCGCACTAGAAGTAGGTGCTGCAGAGGTCCAATCTATGATTCTCAAGGTAGTCTTGTTTTAAAGGTGTTTTCACCTTAATATTGCCTCATTTCTTTCTCAGGCTTACATGTGTTTCCCTCTCTGCTTGCAGGGTGGTGGCATGATCACATTTGCCAAGGTTTATCAGTTGGTATGATCACATTTGCCCAGGTTTTATCAGTTTATGTGTTTAAACTACTTCTTACTCTTCTTCTTCCCTGAGGGTATACTGATCTCGTCTGGCCCTGTATAGTTGGCTAAGAAGCTATCTGGAAAAGTATTCCTTGAAGCTGCCAACTACCAGATGAGGAGAGAGATGCTAAAAAAGGTTTGCATTTGTATTCCATCTCATCGCACTGCTGAAGAATTTTAATATCATCACTCACGGATCTGAGAAGCTTTAAGATAATAAACCAATTACAAATGTCAATACAGGGTGGACAGTTAGCTGCCATTAACTTGGAATCTCGAGCAGCTCTGCTTGCAGCAAAACATGTAGTTACTTTCTCCATCCTATTTTTTTTTTTTCGGTGCTATCGCATTTAAGCTAATGTTAGTTACATAAATGAAATTCTCCTTTCAATGTGATTTACGGTTACCAATAATTGGTCACAGGGGTTTGCAGGAGCTGCATCCAGATACCTTGGCTTAAGAACAGCGATGCAATTACTCGGTCCGGTGTTAGTATACACTGCCCTAATCCTAGATTGTTTAAGAGTTGTATACCAAAGCTAATTGCACTAGGCACCTACCTGCGTTTACTTTACATGCTCATTGATCTGAATCTGCAGAATGTGGGGCACGTTACTGGCTGATTTGGTGATTCAGATGCTCGAAACTGACTACGCTAGAATCTTACGAGCAATTTACGCGTTTGCACAGGTACTTTTCATTTCGCCAAAAGCCTTCATTTTTATTATTGTGTGTTGTTGTTCAAAGAGTTTTAAAAGGGATGATTGTTTGTTTTCCAGATTCGGATCACCAGGACATACAGGCTACCTTGTAAATGAAGTAACAGTTTTCCTCGAGTTTCTCAGTCTCATCAGTGTGTGTCTAAGAGTTATGTCGGTAAACAACGTTTATGTTACACTCACTCGTATAAATTATTATTATTCGTATGTGGTTGAAATGAAATCTGACGCTACTCGAATAGAGAAAGAGAGTGGGCGTTTGCAACAAAACGGTGTTTTTGTAGCCATGTAAATGTTTCTTATTACTAACGAATTTCAGAAGTTATCTGATTCTTTAAGTGGTGACGAGCGGATAAGAGACACGAGTGGTTTGTCTTTCAGACACGTGTCTGGTTCGTGGGCCTCGAAAGCAACGGCGGCTCTGTTTCTTTCACGACGATAACCCGCCGCGTTTCTCCACGTGGCTTTTTGTCAGAAATTTAGACTATTCCATAACTTGTTTTTGTTTGCATATTAATTTTATTATGCAAGCGAATCTTCAATATAATCACTGTGATGGATAATTGCGGCTATAATGTGTTAAAATCTCTCTGTTAGTGTGGAGTGAACATGTTTGAATCCGGATTGATCGTGACAAGTTTTGTTTTGTGATTCTTATTTTTTGAAACGTGTTTCTAATTCGTGGCTCTAGTAGTTGAGAACGAGACTTGTCTATTTTTTTTATCAAAAAAGACTTGTCTATTCTTCTCTATTCTATCGTCCAAATCATGACGTGACGTGCGAGGCATGGTAGTTGGATACCTCCGACTTATGGTGCTTTTATCTAAATTTCTGAAATGAATTGCTAAATGTGTCAACCACGGAAAAGGTATTTTATTTTATAACATCAAATAGTTAACAGAATTTAAAGTAATAAACAGTAGATAATCATTTTTTAATCAATCGTTTATTTAATTAACTAATTTAAAATTCTGGGAAAGTATTTTATTATTATTGGGAGTATGTCCTAGCTTATTGTACCACAAAATGATATTTTATTAAGTTGCATTTATCAACCAAAAATGATTAAATTTAAGGATAGATTCCATAGTCCTGGGGCTATTTACAACTAGCTAATTCAGAATTTTCAGATGTACTAACAAGTGCATCTTTGATGCAGTCATCGATTCTCCCGAGAGTCGCGAGCAAACATATTCATTTAATGACTTAATGATGAGGAACGCATTTTTGCTATGCTACTAATACTTGTACTTGCTCTGCTATTCTTCCCAAGCCTGGCTGAGGCAGAGTTACGGGGCTTCAAAAAATATGCTGATTCGGTCGGTAAAAAATACTATATGTAAAAAAAAAAGAAGCGATAGATATAATAGATATATATATCTAAATTCAAATAAAAAAGAAGGCCACTCCACTCGATTTCGACAAAAGAGAAAGAAGGCGTGTACAAGAATCATAAAAATAAAATTGTTGGAAAAAGCTTTTTATAGATAGGATCAATGGATCATATGATAGGACGGTTTTTTAGGGTAATTTCTTGCAAAAAATATAAGTATTATTTTTAAACTAATTGAAAATAATATGGACCTCTCACGTGTCACTTCTAGAACAATCTCCTCGTCTCTTCTCATTTTATCTCACATCCCGAAGCTACGAAGTCACCTTTGCCAAGTTTTTAACCAAGCAATTCACAAAACGTGATTTAAAACAAACAAAAACACAAATTCTACACATACATTGAATTTGTTATTCAAAAACTGTTCATTCGAATTATATCTTTAAAAAGCTTATTCTCTTGAATCGTTTTGTTATAATTTCTTCTTGTCTTCGTTCTTCTTCTTCATTCAGCCATTGTTATCTGAGCTCTGTTATTTATCCTGTTCAAACAGAGGAAGCCCTAAATTTGGATTTTCCATTCAAAATTTCCCAATTCCGCTAATTTTGGAATAAGGAAAAAAAAAACGATAGATTTGTTTCCATTTTCTTTTTCTTTTTCCATTTCCTTCGTTTTATGATCTGTTCAAGTGGAGGAACGATCTTAATAGCAAGAGGAAAAAATTCAATCCCCAGATTACCCGTCACAGGGACTTCACTAAATCACGCGAATCGAATTCGAAACAATCTCCCGATAAGTGTTACAGCTTTTCGACGATCGTCATCATCGTCATCGTCGTCAATGGCGGTGCAAACAATGTCGATGGGATCGGATTCATCAACTTTGATTCTAACATCAGGAGCCAGCGGTCGCGTTAGGGCACTCTTCTCGATGCGAGAGCTCAAGCGCCTCGTTACGATAATCCAATCGCTGATTCTCTTCCTGCTCCTTCCGTTTCGCGTCGTCGTTTGGCGGCGGAGAACCGGTGCGGTGGTCATCAGAGACGAGAAACAGGAGAGGAAGGTGTGGGTCTCGCCGCAGATCGTGGTGAGGAAGAGGAACATCGGCGGAGAAATCGGCGCGAGCGGATGCAGCGTTTCGCCTCCGTCGGTTCCGGCGGCGGTGGTGGATGAGGAGGTTGCGATTAGACGGGAGCTTGCGATGAGGCGAGTTTTGGAGGATGACGACGGCGATGGAAGCTCCGTCAGAGATTTTTCGCTTTTCACGACGAAGAGAGGCGATACGTTGTTTACTCAGTCATGGTCTCCTGTTTCCCCAAATCACAGGTAATTTAAAAAAAAAAAAAAAACAGAATCTCATTTTATCTGTAAATTAATCATTTTTAAAATTCAAAATGTGGAATGGGTGGTGGTCAATCTTATGATTAATTGAAAACGTGAGGTAATGGAAAATCTAAGCATAACAATCATATAATTGTCAATTAATCTAATAAGTATCAAGATATGCGGATCCAGTATCAGGATGGGACTCTTAGTTGGTAAGCATTTCTTAAGATTCTTTAAGAGAAGATCAAGAAGTTTAGCTGGCAAAAATGTAGAAAAAGATTATCTTGCTTGTCCATGTTGTTTTGAAGGATCAATGTGTATATATAATACAGACAACCAGAAGACTTTGTCCATAGTAGTAACCTGTTCTAATGTTTCTTTCTCACTATCACTGATTCTATGGTTTTGAGACTTTCATGCCTCTAATTTTGTAAGCTAATCTGAGTTTTGTTCTAATACAAGTCATTAAATTGACTGGTTATCTTTCATCATTTTCTTGTCTGGTTTCTTATCTTTCAGTATTATTATCTTTTTGCAGGGGACTTGTTGTTCTGCTACATGGATTAAACGAGCATAGGTTTGAACCCATTCTTCTAGCTTTGCACCATTTGCTTTGATTATACATTTAATGTCATTAAGAAGCTTAACATCACTTTCTTTTTCAAAATTTGGACAGTGGCAGGTATAGCGATTTTGCAAAGCAGCTAAATGCTAATGGTTTCAAAGTCTATGGCATGGATTGGATCGGTAATCTCCTTCCCTTTCACCTTTTGTTACCGTTTCGATGTTCATCATAGCTAAAGGTGCTTCTGTAAACTGTAAGCATTTAGTTTTCTCTGCTAGGTCAAATTGAATCTCTCTTCCTCGCACATCACACTAAAAATTACCTAAAGTATAAATCTAAACATGGTTTCCAACTATGGATCTTGATGATAGTCAAGGTGTTGAGGTTAAATTTATTGACATAGTAGTGATAGTACCAAAGGTGGTTGTATTGATATTGAACATTTGGTGTGATATATGAAAGACGTTGACCTTAGTGCCTTTAAATTTACGGAAACATGAGTGTTTTACGATGCAGCTGTTTCATAGGCTAGAAACAAAAAATTCTCCAACAATGCCTCTCTGTGTTTGGATGTCGCAGGGAATATTGTGATTTTATGTTGAGGTGGTGCCTAATTCGTGTGGAAAGGTGACACATGAACCTCATCTTTAGCTTTACAGTGCCTAAAACTTAGGGACTGTGCATTGTAATATCTGCAAACAATTTGAACTTATAGCCTTTTTTTAGGTATCTCTCTCAATGATAACTTCCAAAAAATCTGTATATTTTAATGTGAGTAGCAATTTTTTTGTTTGTATGATCTAACAGGTCATGGTGGAAGCGATGGGCTTCACGCTTACGTTCCTTCCCTTGATTACGCTGTCGCAGATTTGGTATGTCTTTCTCTATATTATAGTTTCTGAGTCGGCTTTGAAACAAACTCACACCATTATTTTTGCAGAAATCTTTCCTTGACAAAGTATTCGCAGAGAATCCAGGGCTCCCCTGTTTCTGCATCGGACACTCAACAGGAGGAGCCATCATCCTCAAGGTAAACAACATCTTCAAACCCATTACTATATAAACATCATATCGTAATCCGATTCTTCAAAATCTCAAACACTGGTAAAACAATTAAGTGCAGGCTATGCTGGATCCAAAGATTGAATCTCGAGTTTCAGGCATTGTTTTGACTTCACCAGCTGTTGGAGTCCAACCATCGCATCCAATCTTCGCTGTAAGTTAAATTAACCCGAAAAGTCGTTTATTTCAAGCATTGTCAAAGAGTTCTTAACAATCTGATCAGCTCTCTGTTTTTTTTCTTCTTCAAAACAGGTTCTTGCTCCAATCGTTGCGTTCCTCTTACCAAGGTATCAATTCAGTGCAGCAAACAAGAAAGGAATGCCGGTTTCTCGTGATCCACAAGCTCTTGTCACCAAATACTCTGACCCGTTAGTCTTCACCGGATCTATCCGGGTTAAAACCGGTTATGAGATCCTCAGAATCGCTTCTCATTTGCAGCAAAACCTAGAAAAGGTGAAAGTTCCTTTTCTTGTTATGCACGGTACAGCAGACACGGTGACGGATCCCAACGCCTCTAAGAGGCTCTACGACGAAGCTTCTTCGTCTGACAAATCAATCAAGCTTTACGATGGGTTGCTTCACGATCTCCTCTTCGAACCTGAGAGAGAAATCATCGCTGGAGTCATATTAGATTGGCTAAACCAGCGGGTTTAGCTCTTTCAAACCAACCATTACTATCATGTCTAATCAAGAATTTCTTGATTCAGACACGACAAAAAACGAAAAACAAAAACAATTTCTCCGAAATCTCTGGGTTATTGACCGAGAAACGCAAGGAGGAAAGGAGTTCTTGGTCGATTTAGCAACTTCTTGGTTGATTTTTCTCAGCTTGGATGTTGAAAGAAATAATGAAGAAAAAAAAAAGAGAGTCCTTATGCTACTTGAGTACTTGATATAACATTGGAGTCGTCTCAAAACATTTTGACAACGGTATAATTGTCCTAATAAATCAATAATTTTGTATCCTCGGATTTTCATATTTTATCTATTTACTATAATACTAGTTACAATATGAAATCGATATGTGACTTGTCTGTTCTGATGGTTTCCGCTTGTAAATAACTTTTTTACCTTTTTATGATATTTCATTGTGTGAGTTAAGCATTTTGTTTGTCCAACAAATATTTTGTAAACAAGTGGATGGAGACAGAGAAATGAAACCCAATAACAATAATCAAACGAAACACCAATTTTATTTGTCAATAATACACATCAAAGTCGCAAGTCAAGGGTGGCCCTTTTTTCTTTGTCACTCTCAAGAGTGACACCCCATAGGCCCTTCTTCTTCGTGAATCATCAATGCTGACGTAAGTCAATACGTCATCATTTCCATTTCATATTTATTCGAATTTAGTGATTTAAGTAGGAAGGAAAAAAACAAAAAAACAAAAATAATGAAGTTGTTGTTATCAACTCTTCCACTAGCTAAAAACCCCCGAATCTTCGAGGAACATATTCAATTAGAGAGATTTGCTTTCAAGCAAGTGGGAACCAAAAATTATTATGATTAAGTGGCGACTGGATTTTTCTTCTTTTGGCCGCACCTTAAACTTTGACTGCGCAGCCCTTATCTTTATTGCATTTTTTTGTTTTTCCCTCCAAAAGAAAAAAGCTAAAATCATTAAAATATAATCGAAAGATACGATCATATAGTTTGGATATTGCTTAGATTCTCGTCATTTTGTTTCGTTATCCTTATAGTTTATACCATATATTGATCATGAAACCAAAATTATATATCCATGCTCTGGCTAGGAACAAAGGCCATTGATTCTCAAACGAAAAGTCAACTGAAACACTTATTCGGAGCAAGGACCAAGAAGACAACAAAAAACGTAGATTTCATATTCAGTTTAGTGTCTATGGAGAGGAACAACATACTTGGAAGAAAAAAAAGAGAGTAAATAATTGATTACCAAATCTTATGTACAAAAATTTTAGAGAATGAGTCATGTAATGTATACATTACGAAACTGTAAAGAGTAAATGACTGAAGAAATAGTTTTATCATGGAAGGGCGATGTTACAAGCCCCGATTTTTCCTAAACTCCGGAGTATATATATGTACAAAAATTACGACCATAATATCTCCAGAAGCTATCCAAGTTTCTACAAAAATAAAACAATTTTAATCCAAATGCGAATCATCTGCTTTTCAGAATCTAGATTCTCAGATCCGTTTCTGATTATACATTAAAAAAAAAAATCGAATTAAGGATTTTCCCGGAGAAAAGGATGGCCGAGAAGCTGCGACGCCGTCCACCGATTACTCGAATCTTTACGGAGACAACACTCGACGAAGCTCCGAAACTCTTCGGAGCATCCCTCCGGCGCTCGCGGCGGTTCTCCGAAACACACGGCGCACATTAACGTCGCCCAATCGGGTCTCTGTCCCGGCGGGAGCAACGGAAAGTGACCGACGAGAAGCTCCAGCATCATCAACCCGAAACTCCAGATATCGCCGGCGTAAACGTCGGAGCTTCCACCGGCCGATTCAGAATCGAATCTCTCTGGGCTCATGTAAGCACAAGTGCCTACGTACGAATTGCACGAATCTAACGACCTTACTAAGATCTTGCTGACTCCGAAATCGGCGATTTTAACCTCGTTTTTCGAATTGAGAAGGAGATTCGCCGGTTTGATGTCTCTGTGAACGATTTTGAGAGCGTGAAGATAACTCAATCCTTTCAGGATCTGTCTAGCGAATCCGGCGAGTTTTTGCTCTGTTACGCCGCCGCGGAGAGATTCTAGGGTTCCTCCGTCCATATACTCCATCAGAATCGATACTTCGCCGACGACTGGTTTTTCGAAGATTCCGTGACACCGGACGACGTAGGGAGAATCTGTGCGGCGGAGGATCTCCATCTCGCGCATCAGTTGTCTCGTGAGAATCGGATCCATATCACCGTTAACGGATTTCAGAGCGTAAAGCTCCGCCGTGTTCTTGTGACGGACTTTGTAAACAGTCCCGCCGTTTCCGCAACCGAGAACGTTGAGTTTCTCGAGATCAGCGGCGGAGATTCCGTTACAGATAACAGCAGAGGTAGCGAGGGAGGAGACGGAAGCGACGGAGAAGCGGCGGTCGGAAATTGGAGGAAGAGGAAGACGAAGATTGAGCTGACGACGTTCTCGAACCAAAGCCATGGAAAGATAGAAGAAGAAGAAGAAGAAGAAGAAGAAGAAGAAGAAGACTGAAGAAATCTGGTGGAAGAAGAAAATAGAGAAGCTTGAGATTTTATATGATTTTTGAGTCTTTGAGAGTGTGAGGAGACAACGAGGAAGGTGAAGATGGACCTAATTACCCTTTATTTTTAAATTTATTCTTATCTTAAAATGGAAACTCACATTATTTTTTCCTATGTATATCGTTAAAAATGCAACTTGTGTGAGTGTTTTGATTACGCACGTGGTTAAATGCATCAGACTGTAATTTGTCCGAATTTTATCATGGAAAAGTGAGTAATTATTTATTTTTTTCTTTATAAAAAAGTACCACTACATACTAAAAAACGATAAGGTAACTAAAAATTTATTGGTATTAAAGTTTTTTGGCAGCCTTCGGATATAGAGCAAGAAAATAATGGTAATTAAACCATAAGAAATGATAAATGAATGATTATGACCTTTTAATTCTTGCCAACTACGTACTAATGACAAGAAAAAGAAAAAAATTGGTGTTATTGTGAAGGTTCGATGAACCAAGAAGGCTAAAGGATGAGGAACTTAAAAGGAGTTAATGAGAACGACTAAAGAAAGAGCATTAACATTTTTTACGCCAACGTGGAAAAACTTCTAACAGCCATCTGTTTATTTGCTTAGGCCATCGCAATCAGATATTGCCTAATCTTATAAATATTTTGTTTTCTATAAAATTTAGATAAGATCTTTGTGGAGACCATATGGTGTATAGGGTATTTAGCCTTTTTGCATGTGTCATGTGTGAATTTGTGCACGGTGCACATGCGACATGCCTATTGTCATTGTACGTGTGTGGTTATGTTTTGTATTTGTTAGACTAACTACTATTATTATAAACAATTGAATGGATTGGTTTAAACAAATGTCGAAATAATCCTAACAGCAAACGAACTAATATTTTCCACCCGATATTGGAATAACAATATAGATAATTAGTATTTAAATTAATTAACTTATATGACGAATTGACGATAAATTAGACATTCAATAGAAAGTTTTTTAGCAGAAAAAAGTGTTGATCTTTTAATAAAAACTGAACAGACTCTGTTTTAATGATGAAAAACAGAGACAAACAGAGTACTTTAATTAATAAGGATTAAAATGTGTTACAGACTCTCATGATCAATCGGACTTGACTCAATCTATTTATACAAACAAAACATGTTCTTTGAAACGACATGTCTGTAAATGAAACAACGCAACCCTACAAACACAACTAATCACACATGTGTCTTTTAATGAGAAATAACTAACTAATGTAAATAACTTAAACCATACGAGATATGATTATCGTTCAACACTCCTTCTTAATCATATCTCGGTTTTACTCCAAGTTTCCTTCTTAGTTCCTCAAATCTTGATCCGCCAAGTGCCTTTGTCAGAAGATCAGCGAGTTGAACTTCTCCTTCACAATACTTGAGTCGAATCAGACCATTGTTTTCTGCTTCTCGAACAAAATGATATTTGATCTGAATGTGTTTGGTTCTTTTGTACTGGATTTTTACCAATCGCAATTGCAGATTTATTGTCACAGTAGATTGGAACACCATTTTGACACTTGAACCCAATTTCTTCAAGAAGTCTTTGCAGCCAGATTGCTTGATTTTCTGCAGCACATACAGCAATATATTCCGCTTCTGCTGTTGATTGTGCCACAGTTTGCTGTTTACTTGAATGCCAACAAAATACTCCAGAACCGAGAGTGAAAACGTACCCAGAAGTGCTTCTCATGTCTTCATTCGAACCACCCCAATCGCTGTCTGAGTAGCCTAACAATTCTGGATTTTCAATACTTGTGAAATGAACTCCAAAGTTAGATGTACCTTTGATGTATCTTAATACCCTCTTGGCTTCTTGGTAATGCTTCATGAGAGGCTTAGACATGTAGCGTGAGAGATAAGAACTTGCAAACATCAAATCTGGTCTTGAAGCACACAGATATAAAAGGCCACCAATAATGCTTCTGAATTTTGTTGGTTCACCATACTCTTGATCATCTTCTATCTTCTTGCCATTTGGTGTAAGTGGAGAACTTACACTCTTGCTTCCATTCATCCCAAACTTCTCAACAAGTTTGTTGGCATATTTTTCTTGTGATAGAAAGATCCCTCTGTCATCTTGAATTACTTCCATTCCAAGAAAATAATTTAGCAACCCTAAATCTGTCATCTCAAACTCCTTCTTCATATCTTCTTTAAAGCTTTCAATGAGTTGAGAGTTGTTTCCTGTGATGACTAAATCATCAACATAGAGACTCACGATCAGAATATCCTTGTCTTTCTTCATCACATACATGGCTGCATCATTCATGCTTCTTTGAAAATCTTGTTGAAGAAAATACGCATCAATCCTCTCATACCAAGCTCTGGGGGCTTGCTTAAGGCCGTACAGAGCCTTATGTAACAATAGGACTTTGTCTTCTTCCCCTTTGGCTATGAACCCAGGCGGTTGTGCAACATAGATCTCTTCTTTAAGCTCTCCATTTAGAAATGCTGACTTAACATCCATCTGGTACAGATTCCACTTCATTTGTGCTGCAAGAGCAAATATAACTCTTATTGTAACATGCCTTGAAACAGGTGCAAATGTTTCAAGATAATCAACACCATATTGTTGTGTGAATCCTTTTGCAACTAGCCTTGCTTTATGCTTGACTGGTTCTCCATTTGCATTAGTCTTGATGCGATAAATCCACTTCACACTTATGACATTTTTCTTGTTTGGTTTCTCCACCAGCAACCATGTTTTGTTCTTTTTGATCATCCTGATTTCCTATCCATAGCTTTTCTCCAATCTTTGCACTTTGAGGCTTCATCGTAGGTTTGTGGTTCATCATTCATCATAAGCCACGCTTCATGTGATTGATCCACCTCCACTGGATTCGTTTGTTGAGTTATCTCATTAATAGACCGAAACTTTCTTGGTCTATTTAGAGAGTCTTCTTCTTCTTCTTCTTCTTCTTCATCTTGAGTGTTTACAACCAGACTTGGTTCTTTGTCTTGATGATTTTCTACAGTCTCTGCTTCATTTGGAGATAAAAGAATCTGCTTCACTTCTTTCTTCTCCCAATCCCATCTTTTTTCTTCATCAAAGGTCACATCTCTTGATGTTTCAATTTTTTCTTCGTCTAACAAAAGAACTCTATACCCTTTAGATTCACTGCTGTAGCCGATAAACACCCCACGGTTGGCCTTGTCATCAAGTTTCTTCCTCTTTTCGTCTGGTATATGCACATAGCATAAAGATCCAAACACTTTTAAGTGTTTCACACTTGGTTTGACACCACTCCACTTTTCCATTGGTGTCATATTTTCTTCAAGAGCATTGGTAGGAAGTAAGTTTTGAATAAAATTTGATGTAGCCACTGCTTCAGCCCATAGCTTCTTTGGGAGACCTTGATCAACAAGCATCGAACGAGCCATCTCTACCAATGTTCTGTTTTTTCTTTCTGAGACACCATTCTGTTGTGGTGAGTATGGTGTTGTGATTTGCCTTTGTATCCCAGCCTCTTGACATAACTTGATGAATTCTTTGGATATGAATTCGCCTCCACCATCTGTCCTTAGTTGTTTGATCTTTTTTTCAGACTGATTTTCGACTAAGGACTTGAACGTTCTGAATTTTGAGAGAACTTCACTCTTGTTTTTGATGAAATACACCCAACTCATTCGTGAATAGTCATCGATAAACAGCACAAAGTACTTGCTTCCACCCATCGATTCGTTTTGCATAGGACCGCAGACATCTGAGTGTATTAACTCCAAAACTTCACTTGTCTTCGTTTGAGATTTCTTGGGAAAGCTTTTCCTTGCTTGTTTTCCCTTCTCACATGAGTCACATACTCCTTTTGTGACCTCAAATCTGGGAAGATCATTCACAATCTTCATTTCCTGCATCTTCTGTATTTTATCAAAGCCAACATGCCCCATTCTTCTATGCCATAACTCATCTTTGTTGACTCTTTCTCCTTCTGCAAGTAAGGCACTTACTTCAGATTTCTTCCATTTGAATGGAAAACTCTTATGCTTCATCCTTATATTTAGAATCTTTCTTCCTTGAGGATCATTGATGATGCACCGATTTGCTTCAAACAGAACTCCATATCCATTTGAAATCATCTGTGAAACACTTAACAGGTTTCTCGCTAGACCTGGCACTAGAAACACCTCCTTGATGATCTTTTCTCTTTGACTTGTCATCACTTGAATGTTCCCTTTTCCTGCCGTCATTATCCTTTGACCATTCCCCACTTTGATTGGCACCTTTATGCTCTTGTCAAGAGTGATGAAGTATTTAACTTCCTTGGTCATATGATTAGTGCAGCCGCTGTCAACTAACCATGTTTCATCATCTTCTTGTGATGATACTTCTTCTTCTGTCACGCAGAACAGCATGTGACTTTCATCATCTGTTTCTTCAAAACTTAGATCTGCTCCCTCAGTTCTTCTAAGTTTGCAGTTCTTTGCAAGATGTCCTGGTTTGTTACACACAAAACATCTTCTTTCATTTTTCATCGTTTGTTGTGACGAACCACCTTTGTTCTTTTTTGACCAACAATCACTTTCATTGTGACTGCTTCGTTTGCAAATGCCACACCACTTCTCAGTCTTCTTTTGACGCTTGTCTTCACGTTTGTTATCTCCATAGAATGCTCCTTCTGTTGATCGCTCTTCCCGGACTGAGATGCGCTTCTCATGTGCTTTTAATGTGCCTATCAATTCTGTAACTGATAGCACACTTAAGTCTTTTGTTTGCTCCAACACACCCACAATGCTGTCAAACCTTTCTGGAAGTGAAATCAGAATCTTTTGCACCATTTGATAATCTGATTTCTCTTCTCCATGAAGTCTGAGTTGATTTCCTGTCTCAATCAGTTTTGTCGTGAATGCGTTGATGCTGTCGCCTTCATTCATCTTCAGATTTTCATATTCTCTTCTAAGAGATTGAAGCTTTATCATTTTGACTTGTTGTGATCCTTCAAACTCTGATTGTAAAGCATTCCAGGCTTCTGTTGCGCTTGCTGCAGGAGCAATTCTCGGGAATATGGAATCTGAGACTGCAGTCTGAATGATTTGCAGAGCAGTTAGATCTTTTAAGGCTGCTTCATCATGTCGTGTTTTTAATTGAGTGGCTTCGGGGCTATAATCTCCACTTGCAGGTGGATTCGGAACTCCATTTTCAACAACTTCCCACAGTTTCTTTGTCTGGAAAATTGTTTTCATTTTGATGCGCCAAAAACCATAATTCTCACCATTGAAGATCGGAGTCACAATATGTGACGTCGTCTCCATGACTCTCTGTTTTGTTTAACTTCTCTCACTCGAATTTTGTCCCTTGAATCAGTAGGGCTTTGATACCATGTTGATCTTTTAATAAAAACTGAACAGACTCTGTTTTAATGATGAAAAACAGAGACAAACAGAGTACTTTAATTAATAAGGATCAAAATGTGTTACAGACTCTCATGATCAATCGGACTTGACTCAATCTATTTATACAAACAAAACATGTTCTTTGAAACGACATGTCTGTAAATGAAACAACGCAACCCTACAAACACAACTAATCACACATGTGTCTTTTAATGAGAAATAACTAACTAATGTAAATAACTTAAACCATATGAGATATGATTATCGTTCAACAAAAAAAAGAAGATAACGCATGTCGACACATATTATATCCTTGGGAATAGATAATTATTTTAGAGCTCAAAGCCATCGGATGCTAACGTAGCCCCTTTTGTTAGAGTCTGTAAGAGGAACCACATGTAATATAGGATATAGAAGGATGAATTGAGCGTTGATAATTGACAATCTTTGAATACTGATGAAAAGTGAATAACATCTTAAGATTCTGCCTTGAGATGTCAATAACATACGTGTTAGCATTCTAGTTGTTTCCGTTTCTACAAATATGGATAGTAAGAAAATTAAAACACACAAATTGAAAGCGTTTTGTTGGTCCTGAGGCTGAGTTAATTTACACTAGCCGTACTTTGCAAGGCAGAAACTCCGGCACACTGAAATCAAACTTGTCCTAATGCAAAGCATTCATATATAGATTTAACATTGTGTTTAAAATTTAAGATGCAGGGATATGTGTGTATATATCACATTTATTTAGTAAAACAAATGGCTTTTGTAAAGTCGAAATTCAGAGACAGAAAGCATATCACACATCTAGAAACTCATCTCCATCTTCAAGTAGATATCATGTCGAGAGAGAGAGAGAGTTTGATACCGTATGCCGAAGAACATATAGGCGAAACCAAGTTAAATCACGGAAGTAGCTGATCAAGTGCTCAAATTAATGTATGATTGTGTTAGTAAAAATTTGATAGCTGTTTTAGAACTTTCCTAAGATTTGCTACCAAGCATTTATATTTCTTGCGGAGCTCTATGTCTCAAAAGGAGATGAGACATTCGTTGTCTAATCTACTTTTGTTTTATATAATAATAAGCAAACTAAGACGCGATTAACGGGGAAAAAAGGAAGCAATAATATAATTAATGATGAGGAGAGCGCATGTCTTTGACGTAGCCACCAAGCCATGGATCCATGGTCTCTGCCCTAATCTCCCACGTCGGATCAAAAGCTTCCCATGGTATACTCTTGAGATCTTCCACCGTAACACCCAACTCCTCAAGTGTCACGTGTCGATAACCCTTATCACTACTTCTAGTGCTCTCACCGATCGTGAAACTCTCGTCCTCGCTCAAATTATTTTGATTTGATAACGATTGTTGATCATCGGTCTTCATCTTCGTCTCGTGAAGATCAGTAGAAGAAGAGAGGCGTGAATAATCCACACTTGATGCAGCATCATTCTCCTTCGCCTCCGGTAACCTCTTGACCACGCAACTTAGTTCGTTGAAGGATTCAACATTGTCCCACCAAGACCCTAATCTCAGCTTCTTCTTCTTCCGCTCTAGGGTTTCCTTTTCCTCTTCGTTGTCGTCATTGGTGATGACGGTTGCATTAGTAGAAGAACAAGCTGGTGATCCCAAGGAGTTGAATGTCTGAGGAAGGCGAGAGCATAGTTCGTCGTCGTCAGTCTGACTCGAACGTTGCTTGGTGATGAGTCGTCCGAATCCGACCGGCGACTCTTGTTTCTCTATAGTCATGTCTCGTTTCTTACCAATTATCTTGAACCAATTAATGATGAATTTAATAAGAAATTCGGACTGAAACAAAATCGATTCGAGAGACTATGAAAAAGTCTTGGTTTAACTTAACGTATATATGCGCTCTATAGTTTTATTTAAAGAAGATTTGGAGTAACCCTCTCGGAAAAGGAAATCGAAACCTAATAAGAAAAAGAAAACGAAAAAAAAAAACGGAAATTGTTTTCTGAGATCAGGAAAAAGGAAAATTCTTTGATATCATCGTTACATCATATCTGTACAAAGGTTTAGCTGTTGACTTTGTCTACGACGTAAAAAGATAAATATATATATATATATATATACTTTTACAAATAATAATTATTGATACTAAATCAGTAAATCCTCAAAGGAAGGAGGTAAAGCCTAATTTCGATTTGAAGTTTTGTTCTATCATAAAACTATGGTTTATGCAGACTGGGTTTATGTTATCAAAAAAAAAAAAAAAAAACTATGGTTTACAAGATCACGCTAGTAAATGTTATTTATACAGAAGATTGCTCGTGAAGATAAGTAGAAGACAACCATGAATCCACTCTTGATACAACATCATTGCCTTTTGCCGTTGAGTCAGGTAACCCCTTGAACACGCAACTTAGTTCGTTGAAGACTTTAACGTCCTTCCTCCAAGACCCTACTCTCACCTTCTTCTTCTTGATCTTCTTTTTATTCCCAGGCTTGTCATTGTCGCTGTCGATGATGATTGCATCAGTACTAGAAGATCTTGAGTCCAAGGAGCTGCACGTCATAGAATCGAAGTCGTCGGTCTTGTTATAGTGAAACGAATATTGCTTGGGGATCAAGGCAAACCCGATCTGTGGCACATGAGTCTCTTGTTTCTCTATCGCCATCTTCTCACGGACACTCTCGACGTTGAAGGCTTCAACGTCGTCCCACCAAGACCCTAATCTCGGCTTCTTCTTCTTCGGCTCTAGGGTTTCCTCGTCGTCAGTGGTCATGATTGCCTCGGTAGAAGATGTTGGCCGTGATTCCAAGTATTTAAATGTCTGAGGAAAGAGAGACCAGAGTTTTTCGTCGGTGTGACTCGAGCGTTGCTTAATCAGTCCGATCTGCGACTCATGAGTCGCCATGGTTCGTTTCGTACCAATTTACAATATTGAACCAAAATTGAAATTTAAGAAGAAATTCGAAGAGAAACAAGATCGAACCGATCAGAGACTACGAAGCAAATCTCTTAATCCAAATTTAAGCGTCTGTGCTCTCTAGTTTAAATAATGAAGCCTTGGGACTTGGGAAAAAGGAAAAAGCAAAAAAAAAAGGAAATTGTTTTCTGAGATCAGGAAAAAATGAAACTTCTCATTACATTGAAAAGTGTTTTACAGGAGCTACAATAACAATACTGAGAACTAAAAATCAAAACAGCTACCACGTGCGAAAGGTGCGAGGTTTGGGTTGAGCTCTGTTGATAATATCTGATCTTGGTTTAGCTCTTTGGATATCTGATCTTGGTTTAGCTTCCTCCACGAATATAACTCTCCCATCCAAAAACTGTAGAAACCAAATCAGAGTTTAAAAAGAATAGGAATTAACCCTTTTCTTGTTCTCAATCGGATTAAAGAATGAAGACAAGCGTGTAAGTGGTGTTGAGCTGAGTACCTTCCCGTGCATCCCTTCAATAGCTTTCATTGACTCCTCCTCTGTTTCATACCGCAGGAAAGCAAATCCTCTTGGTCTATTAGCTACTTTATCCATCACCAAGTTAACTAGACAGGAGAAAATCAAGAAACATTTTAGAGATCGTAAAGAGAAACCTTAGTCAGATAGATTTGTCAGAAGTTGTACAAAGGAGAGCTTATATGGTTACCAAATACAAGCTTGCCAAACTGTTCAAAAGCTTTCCTTAAGTTATCTTCAGTTGTGCGGAAAGAAAGCCCTGTGCAAAACCATCAAAACCCCTCATAATCCATCTTATTTAGAACTCAGGGTACCCAAGAGAAGAGCATTAAGGCTCCCTAATTCACTACTATTCGCACTAAGACAAAGAGCAAGCTTATAACGTGGTGCGTGCTGCCACAAACGATTAAAACAAAACCAACAATTAACAGCAGAAAGATATCGTATCTCCCCAGTTCATCACAACTTACACACCTACCAAAATCATTACAACAAAATCCAACAACGCCTTTACCCATTTAAAGATGTATAATGCAAGGTTTATCATCTGAGAGTCTTAACTATATAATTGGTGACAAACTGGCGCCACAAAATGTGACTGCTTTTGGAGATTTTTCTAAGTTTATAGGAAGGACTTCAATGACGGGTTGCTCTCAAAGTATCCACAAGTTAACAGCTACATCTAATACTCAAAAGAAACAGTAATGAACCACACAACACGTATGTAAATTCCACTACCAAAGTATCATTCATGAACTGGGATTTATGAAGAATTGGAAACAGAAACATCATAATAAAATTGCAAGTAGGAAGAACACAGAGAACTTACCACTGACATAGAGCTTCGTCTTCTGCCCAGAGAGAGACGACGGTGGAGATGAAGAATCCGGAGATAGGCAGCTTGAAATTAAAAACCCGCCAACGTCACGGCCTCGGTGAGCCGAATTCACGCCGTTTCCGACATTGATTCGACCGCGACACAACCGGAAATACGCAGACGAAGAGACGCTGCAGACGGCCGACAAGTTTGGTCTGAAGAGGCGATCTCCCGAACACGACGGAACGACGACTACCCCTAAGCTAACGGCCATTCTTCTTCTTCTTCTTCTTCCCCTCAAATTCCTATCGCGAAATGCTGTAAAGTATAAACCTTGATTCGAGGGTAAAATTGGTACTTTTCTATTTATGAGACCTTGAAATTGAAATTGAAATTGTAGTTTTTTTTTGTTACAATTCACCTCTGTCTTTCTTTTTTTTTTTTTTTTTTTGGTCTCGTCTTGTCTAAAATCATCCATCACTCTAATCTGTAGTCTTTTCAAGATAGCAACAACGAACAGAAAATCTTATGAAAGAACACAAAACTGAGACGAGACGATTTAAGATGCAGAAGGTAGATCCATTATATATACACAATTACAGATTAGCCAAACATTCAAATAATTAGTGATTTTGAATGAGTCTACCTAAATTATTATTAACAAATGAATGAATCAAATCACAAAGACTAAAACTTTCCACATCCCCTGAAGCTGAGGAATTCCCCATAAAGGTTTAGACAATCCAAAAGTCTTTGTTGTTTGCATCAACTTATCTAATTAAACCTCTGCTTCACCAATCATTTCTACACAAAATGAAGATGGCAGCATTATCTTTGGCATTTCCGGCTAATGAAAGCTTCCAAAGCTTCTCTCATCCACCAATTCTGACACAACTCGATCGCTTCAGACAAACAAACCCATTTGCGATGTCTGAAATCTGATTCGGGCCATCGCTCAAACTGCTGGCTAACAAGCAGAGGAAACATGTAACCGTCGTGAATCATGCTGTGTCTTTTGCTTTTGTATTGCCATTTCCCAAGTGTTTCTTCGAGCTGTCCCGTTACACCAGCTTCCTCGATTGTCTCCCTCAAAGCTGCTTCTTCCATTGATTCATCAATCTCCCAACCTCCTTTTGGTAATAACATCCCTTTCCCTTTCTTCTGTGCACTTATCAAAAGAACTTCAATCTCTCCACCACAATCTTTCTTGTATCTGTACGGTATACATCTGCATAATTATTCGAAACCAGGATTTAGATTACAAGAATGTCAATCATTTCTAATCAATTTCTAAACCTAGGATTATAAAATTTCCCCCAAATTTAGAAATTAGGGTTTTTTCAATTGAACATACCCGACGACTTGACGATACCCTGCGGTATTATAACGCTGTAAATCTCGACCGGTTCGAGAGACCAAAGAGACGACTTTCTCAATCGGAGTTGGTACGGTCTTCGACGGTATGTTGTCAAATGTCGGAGACAAGTGCGAGGTGACATTTGGATAGTTTGAGATGAATAGAGACACATAGATTCCCGTCATTGTTGTTTATCTTGCAGAAAAATTACGAAGGAGAAAAAGTCAGATTTGATGAATTATCTGAGAGAGAAGAAGAGAGATGGTTGGATAAACGAGGAAGATGAAAAGATGCGATTTTGCGATGAGGATTAGGCTTTTTTTGTGAGTGTATTTATAAGGAAAATCCCACGCGCTTCAAGTGTTTGCTTCGTTCAACTAATTTAAAATTATTTTATAATACACACTTTTTGGTCAACTAGCTTAATTAGTTCGGTTAAGGAATCGAGATTCCGGTGGGCTTTTTCGGTTATTGAATTGACTTTTTCGGTTTTCTCGGTTAATCAAGAACTTCTGTCTTCTGTGCTGTTCTGTCTTAATTATTTGGAGATTAGTTCACGTGACAACTTTTTCAACTTTTAACAAAATCAGATTAGAACGAGGTTAATAATTATCTCACTCCATCTTCTAGAATCTAGATCATTTTTTCACCGAATAATCAAAACTTTGATGCCAACGAATCCAAGTCTAAGAGTGGGAGAGACGCGCTTAGGCGCGTGGAGAAGTAAGCAAGTGGGGTTACACAACATGAACACGGTATTTACGGCGTATATAAGCATTGACTTATTTTAATTGTTCCTTGATCTTTTTGTTTCTTTTTTCTGCAAACCAAGATAATACAAAATCATAATACTGCTACATTTTTTTTAACGAATAATACTGCTACATAGTACACATACTACATGTTTCAGTCATAACATAAGTGATGGCAAAGTGAAACATAAATATTTGAAAAGGAAAATTTCCCTTTTTTATGAAAGAAGAATCAAAATCCTGTAAAAGCAGAAATGAAGCTAAATCCCAAAAAACTGATAGTTAGTGCTGCATATTTCGTGGTGCTGGCGGAAGAGCTCCCTGAAATACAATTAAGATTAATCATGCTTAGCTTCAAATAAACTTTGAAAATTGGAAAAGCCTGCCTATAATTTTTGCTCACATACAACGTAGAGATAAACTCCAAATTTTACGATTACATTACCGTTACGTTCCAATATTAGACGACAAGATTGTTGACCAACAAATAAACGTTAGGATTAACATTATTTTCGTCATTAATCATTATATAACCTACACTACCTACTTTATTATGATAAAATGCAAAATCAACAGCAAATCAGGGAAAGTAAGAGCATACCGCTGGTGGTAAATCCCGACGGCGTAGTAGACGAAGAATCTTCGTTATGAAAACAAACATATATGTCAGAACGGCGTCGTTTACTTAAACAATAGAGTATGTTTAATAACAGAAACGCATAATATAATCTACACACATAATACAATCAGTAACACCGCTAGATAGAGAGAACTTACAAGCCGTATTGGTACAAATAGAGACGTCATGATTAGCTCCACAGGACTCAAGGAGACTAAGAGCGTTCTCTTTGCTGAGATTAATGTAACTGAGCATGCCCGGATGGTTGAACACGGCGCATAGACACGTCGTGTCTTTTTCGGCGATCTCTTTCATCGGATCGCAACACCATGGCGGCGGAGGAATCTCCGAGTGGATGTAAGGACGACACGGCATTAGTTTTTGTACGCATCGCATTGTATCCTCGGCTTCTCCGATCTGTGCTGTGGCTTGAACGGAGTAGAGAATGACTAGGACGGTGCCTACGCCGAGAAATCTTGTAGTATCCATTTTTTTTTATATATGTAGTCTTCTTTCTTTTCTTTTACTAATGCAGTTTTTTGTTTTGCTCTTAATTTGTTTTAACGAGTACGTATTTTCTTATATATAAGAGAGTAAAGGTTCGATTTTTGTTAATTTTTTAGGGGGTCAACTATGGAGGTGAGATTCTGGTTTCTGAATTTAGTAGATTTATACGATTTCCGGATTTGTTCTGATAATAATATTGAATGCGTACAAAGGCTAGGACTATAAAACTTAAAAAGTCTGAATCCGGATTCCTGCATTTTGACTGAATATTAATTACCCGGTCTAGTGCATGTAACAATGATATACCGTTTCCTTATTTTCTGATTTTCAGTCTCCATTAATTGAATGAGAATACTAAATTGTAAAGTAATTGATATTGTTGACCAAGAATTGTATGTGACCAATCTCACATTCCAAAAGTTACAAAAAAAAATTACAAATATTAGCTGTCAATTCGTGATAATTTTCTAACTGATCTTCGATAGATTATAAAACCATGTAGTATTTGCGGAAATTCGTCTAAAATATAATTGGTTTCTTGTAATAGTATTATATTCAAAGGACACCAGTAAAATAATTTGTTGTTTTTCTATATGCAAAGCTAAGATACAACAAAGAAAAAACTTAGAATCTAATCTGAAGTTTTTTCGATTGTAGATTTACTTCATACGTATCCGCTTTTGTAAGGAATACATTAGTGTTTTTCTGTTTTCTGTATGTCGTTTTACATACAATAAAATGAGTATTTAAAACAAATTAACAGTGCTTTCGTTGTTTTTTTTAGTGATTTGAACTTCTTATCTTTCTTTGTCAAATTTTCTTTTTTGTTTGTTTTGGTTACCATCCATGCAGTTACATTTTTGTATGGTGTCTTGGTGATATTAGGCTAGGCCGAAACTTTTTTTTTTTTTTGGTTTTATCAAATCTAGGCCCTTTTTTTTTGCCAATTACAAGGCTTATCAAATGCCAGAATTGACCCAAGATTGAGAATTCAACTATTTAATTATTTATAAATATGAAACACTAGCAGTACTTAGACACAAACATATAAAATGATGACAACAAAAAACATAAAACATAGGGATGACAAAGTCAAAATAAAATATAGGGATGATATAATCAATAGTATAAGACTGTTGCCACAAAAGCAAACACAAAGCCGAGTCCGATGAAGCTGCCAGCTTGAACGGAAGAGCCTCCTGTTACATTACATGAGAAGGTCGCATCAGTTAATTTTAGAATACTGTAAAAATGAATCAATTAAGAGAACAATAATCACTAATTACCCTGATAAATAATCCATTTCAGAAGATTAGATTCGTTTTAGTTAACTCCCGAAATTATAGAATCAGTTTATGTGTAATAAACTTCGAACATTCGAGTTTTTTTTTGTAATTTTTAATCTATATATACATTTTCTCTATAAATTATAAATGCAACAGCAAATTCAACATATATTAATTAATACGAAGTGCATACCGTTGGTAGATACCGGCGACGCGGAAGGCGAAGAAGCTTCATTGTTGATAAGAGGAGAAACATACGAAAACAGTGTCATTTTACTTTGATAAGATGTTTAATTTGATTAAATTAAAACATATAGATTGATAACTCACAAGCGGTTTGGGTGCAGCGTGAGACGTCAGGATTAGCTCCACAAGCCTTGGGGAGCTCAAGAGCGTTATCTTTCGTGAGGTTGAGTTTTTTTAGCATCTCCGGGCTGTTAAAAACGCTGCAAAGACACGGCGCGTCTTTCTCCACCATCTCTTTCATCGGCCCGCAACACGACGGCGGAGGCGGCGGATTCGCCGTGTGTAAGAACGGCTGACACGGCATGAGCTTTTGCATGCAAGCCATCACTTGACCTTCTCCTCCTTGTGCTGTCGCCTGGACCGAGTAGAGGACCACGACGTAGGCTAATACGGCGAGAGTTTTGCAAATTTCCATTTTCCTTTTTTTTTTGGTTGTAATTTGGCTTGGTAATGTTTCTTTGTCTTTATGTTCTTTGGTTTGTTGAGTACTGTATATTTTGTGTTCTTATAAATAGGGGGAAAATAAAGGATTGTATATAAAGATTTTTAATATTATTCATTATGAATCTGAGATTTGTTTTATGAATTTTCATGGATTTGCTTACCTGATTTGGCTGATTTTGTTCTAGTTCTATAGGATTAAAGACTAAATCTGGATTAGTGCAACTTTCATTTATGTGACCTAGTGCATGTAGATGTCGCTAATGTAATCATTTCCCTAATTTGTTTTTTATCTATACACTGAATCAGAAAATTATAAATTAATAACTTTTTCTATTTAATTAACCATGAGTATAACAGATTTGTTACTAGGATTTATTCAATTATAATATGAGTTAAGTCCATGAAGTCTTTTTTTTTTTTTTTGGGCATCAGTCCATTAAGTCTAGTAATGAAAAATATCCATGAAATAATGCTTATGAGATATAATAAAGAGTAACCCATTTCAAATCTTGGGTTACGCGGCAGACAAAAAAAAAACAACAACATAAGAGGGGATTGGGGTTAAGAGGAGCTTCAATGGTAGTATTTATAGGCGTTCTAGTTGTGTTTTTAATTTAAAAGAAATGTTTTAATGGGATAATTAGACAGAGACGTATCTTATTTTAGAGTATTAAGAGCATCTTCAATGCAGAGACCCATATGAGTCTCTGATTCATTAATTTAATATTATTTGAGCATAAAGTTGAATCAAAAACTATTTTTAGAGACCTTCATTTCTGGGCAGTTCAATGCTAAAGATCCATTAGGTTTCTTATAAAAAAAAAATAATTTGTTACAAAAATAAGAAATAAATTTGTATTAAAAATGCTCAATGCTCAACTGTTAAGTAAACTAGAGGAGAAGAATAAAGACAGATATGATATATACGAGGTAAAACGATTGTTATTGTGTCAAAGATGAACTGTTTTTTTGAGACAAATAACCCATATTAATAACCAAATCACATCATGCAATCCATATGAAAAGAAATTTAGCTGCTAGCTAGCGTTCGAACTGATGACCATATCCCAAGCTGTTGGATCAGAGGCTTACACGTTTGTGCAATCTGATGAGGAGGAGAAAACGAAGCCAGCCAATGTTACAAAACCAGCATATAACTTAGAGACAAAGAGGAGTTTCATGGAAGAGAAATACTTACAAGAAGCACGTTGATGACTGGAAGAGATAATCAAACTTACAAACGCTTCATCAACCAAAATAGAGGGAAATTTCATAAAGAAACCACATTGATGATTAGAAAGAAAAAAAATGATTGCTTCTTAGAGCCTCACCAGTTCATTGACAAACATTTAATTCCCAAAGATGTTTGGCCTGATCCAACAGCTGTTAGGGCATGTTCTATCTGAACCAGCTAAACTTAAAACCACAGAACATCTAATAGTCCACACACTGATTTTCACCCACATAAACCCAACTCATAGAACAACTTAAATCAACGAAATTACGTCTGCGCAAGTACATAAAAAACAAGATAACAATCCGAATTAGGAATCACAAGGGAATCAAATTTAACTCAACGATCAGCTCTAGATCAAAACTGGAGACACAAATTGACACATAAAGGAGAGAGGATAGGAGTTTCAAAGGCTTACCTGCGTCGCCGTTGAATTGGGGATTACTGGAAGCCAAGAGCCGTCGGAGAACTGCGCACGGTCGGAGAAGCCGTGGAAGCCATCGGATAAGTGAAGCTGCGGAGATAAATCACGTACAGACGGACAATCGATCGGAGAAGCTGCGGTCCTGCAGAGACAAACGGAGTTTCAATCGTTTTCCTATAAGAAGAGAGGAGAATGGAAAGATAGGACGGGAAACGAAAAGAAAACAGAAGGGAAAAAAATTTCTCCCAATTCCTTTAGCAAATGAGAGCGTGCCACGTGTGGGAAGAAACGTTTCTCAAAGTCGCAAAATAAGAAACGTTTCACCCAAATTAGAGACGCGGTCACAATTTTTTATTAATTGGTTTCTGTTAAAAACGCAGCAGATCTCTACGTTAATGATGCTCTAAAGAGCTTCTCTTGAGACTCATACGTGTCGCTCACTGATTGGTCGAGTGTTTTTATTTTTATTTTTTTGTTTTTTTTAAGCAAACACTTTGATTTAGAAAAGAGTCTTTGTGTAATGTTTTTTTGAGAATTCTATCTTCTCTCATTCGACTTCTATCTTGGTGTTATCGAAGAAATGGAAAGGCGATTCCTCTCCGAAACACGCTCCGGTGGCGAGTCGATGGCGGCGGCGACACAAGCTCTTCCTCCTCCGATGTTCTGCTTGGACTCCGGTGGATTCTTCTCATCGGAAACGCGATACAAGCTCTCTTTTGATTCTCCTTCGTCTAGCGACGATTTTGATTTGTGTGGAGGATAGAAATCATGTCGGGTGCTCTGATCAATGGATTGGCTGGAGCTGGTGGTGGGATCATTGCTCAACTCCTCAATGGTCCTCTCCAAATCAGGTTTTTTTTTTGTTTTTGCTTTTGGCTGAATCAATCTCCTTAACACACATCCGAGAATTGAATTCTTTTGGCTTTGATGGTTTAGAATTGATTACCTTGGCATGATGATGGCTGTCCAAGGCGCATTTGCAGATAGATCTAGTTGCTTTACTGACAGTGCAGACGCTTCTATAAGAGTTGTCTTCGCTGCAAGCAAGAGCCGAAAAGCTAGAGGCTGCATCATCAAAGGTACTTGGCGGTGACAAATCAAAGATCCGGAAAATAGAAGAGTTAAAAGAAACCATCAAGGTCACTAAGGATGCAAAAAATGTTGCCATCAGAGAGTATGAGCGGATCAAGGTACTCAGCAATAATCATTGCATATCATAGCTTGTGGTCGTGCTTTGTGTAAATTTGTGTCATTGCAGGATAACAACCGATTTGAAGTTGAGAGGTTGGATGGAGAAAGGCGTGCAGACTTCATGAACATGATGAAGGGGTTTGTTGTTAACCAGGTACGTTATTATTATTCAACACATTAGCTTTTTAAGGATGAAGCCTTAAGCTTTTCCTTATTGCTCAATGAAAGTTAGTCTATGGAGGAACGGTAAGAAGATTGTTTACGTTAAGCACAAAGTGTGTGATTCCATTCTTAGTAAGCTTTCAAGAGTGGAGAAGTTGGAAAAAATAGATTACAAAAAGGAAGTCTATCATGGTCTCTTGTAGGCTAGTGAATGGTGAATGACTTGAATGATAATGCCGGAGGAGGAAATATGAGTTCATAATTTGTTAATAAAAGAGTAGAGTCGAGATTGTAAAAGAAAGAGTTGTTGTGGATGCAGGTTGGATACGCAGAAAAAATTAGCAATGTCTGGGCAAAAGTTGCAGAAGAGACGAGCCAATACGATAGAGAGAAGCATATCAGCTAACAAACACAGGAAAAAGAGTGAATGCTGTTCATTTTGGTATAGCCATACCACTATCATGTTTGGCACAGAATCACAATGCGTAGTAAACTAATAATGAATATTCAAAAAGTGTAATTTTTTTTTAGAACCTCAATTAAAAGCTTACTATTGGACAAGAAAATTTAGAAAGAATGTAATAGAGGTTCTAAAACAAAAAAGTTGAATAAAACTATTAAAAATAATAATTAGAACCCTTCATTAGAGATCATGGTTGGAGGTGGTCTAAGACCATATTCATTGAGAGCCCTTCACATTTTTTAATTGGGTTGCTAATAAATATTTTGAGTTAAAATAATAAAAAGGAAGTCCAAAATATAATGGCTGACCCTTGCAAAAGGGTTTTTAGGGCTGGCTCTTAGAAAATTGTTTATAAAAAAATATTATAATATTCTTAAGGAACTTTTAATGAAACCTCTAATGTACATGCCCTAAGGAATCACTAATTTACACAATTACGTGGCTGACGGCTATTGGTTTACTGGTATTAATCAACGTGGCAACATAAGGGCGTGTGACGAAATTACATCATTACCCCCACCTCCATTGTTTCTTCTTCATTTTTTTTTTTTTTTTTTTTGTCGTCCCATTGTTTCTTCTTCAATCCTTCTCAAATCGTTTTAGTCGGAATCACTGAGAAAATAAGACGAAGGAATTTGGATTAATATATAGATATGAGAGTCTCAGGTCAAAGGAGGATCATAGCACTCTTTCTCTTCACTGTCTCTCTCTACATTCATCGCCTTCAGGCTCGGCCCTACGTTCTCGTTCTCTCCAACGACGATCTCAACGGCGGCGTTGATGACAACGGCGCACACGAGCCTTCTGATTTCGATGAGTTTGGGCAATCCGAATCTAAGTCCGACGAGGAACTTGATCCCGGTTCCTGGCGTCCAATCTTCGAGCCCAACGATTCCGCCGTCCACGCCGCGTCGCCGCAGTATTACTCCGGACTCCACAAGATTCTCTCGGCGGCGACTGAGGGAAACACTGTGTTGATGGAGGAGGCGGTTTCAGAGATAGATTCGTCTGCTTCCTCCGGAGATCCGCACGCGCAGTCGCTGATGGGGTTCGTGTACGGGATTGGGATGATGCGGGAGACGAGCCGAGCCAAATCGATTGTACACCATCATTTCGCAGCCGAGGGAGGAAATTTGCAGTCCAAAATGGCACTTGCTTTTAGATATCTTCGACAAAATGTAAGTGCAAGCAACGAGTTAAACTAATTAGCCTTGTATAAGCGTATTTCTTATCTCGCTTTAATGTTGTTGTGATCCTTCCACAGATGCATGATAAAGCCGTCCAATTATATGCTGAACTAGCTGAGACATCAGTAAATAGCTTTCTGATCTCAAAGGATTCTCCAATGGTTGAGCCAATTAGAATCCATAGTGGAACAGAGGAGAATAAAGATGCACTAAGGAAATCCCGTGGGGAGGATGATGAGGATTTTCAGATATTGGTATACCAGGCACAGAAAGGGAATCCTGCTGCTATGTACAACGTGGGACTGTTATACTACTTTGGTCTCAGAGGATTAAGGCGTGATCACGCCAAGGCATTGTACTGGTTTTCCAAGGCTGTAGACAAAGGAGAGCCAATGTCAATGGAGCTTCTGGGAGAGATATATGCTCGAGGAGCTGGTGTTGAGAGAAATTATGACAAGGCGTTTGAATTTCTTACACTTGCAGCAAATCAAGGTCTATATTCAGCATTTAATGGCCTTGGTTACTTGTATGTCAAAGGCTACGGAGTAGACAAGAGAAACTACACTAAGGTAACTGTTGCTTCACACTTCCCAAACTAGAAATTTTGGTTCGAACGTTTGTTTAGCTTTTACAATATATAATGATGGAACTTGTTAGTCTTAACGATTCATTCTACCATAGTTAAGCACGTCTTGTGTCTGCGCTATTTAGCGTTTTTCATGTTCTTCTTCAGTCACTACTTGTGATGAATGACCCAAATACATTCCATTGATATTTCCCTTCAAGTTCAGGCGAGAGAATATTTTGAGAAGGCCGCTGATAATGAAGACCCTAGCGGGCACTATAACTTAGGAGTGCTGTATCTTAAAGGTATTGGAGTCAAGAGGGATGTCAGGCAAGCAACCCAATACTTCTTGGTTGCTGCCAATGCTGGCCAACCAAAGGCTTTTTATCAACTCGCAAAGATGTTTCATTCTGGCGTTGGGCTTACGAAGAACTTGGAAATGGTAACTAGCTTCTTTTACCATGATTTCCAAATACAGAGAATTTTATATCCTAAATGTTGATGAATTCTAAATACAGAGAATTTTACCAACGAACTTAAACTCTAAATTTTGCTGACTATAGCTCATAAACAGTATTTGATGTCTCCGACCTACTTTTGCAAGAACTTTTCAATTTGAGGTAGGAGTGGTGTAATATGCTAAAGTGTATAACCATCAATGGGTGATCTCTGCTATTTTTTTACTTTATCATGCTTTTGTCCTTATTCCCATCCATTTTAGGTGTTTCTGTAGTTTTCCCTGAGCAATTTAGATTCATCGTTGAGGGGTTTTGTACTTTCAATTCCTTGTTCATGTTCCTAGCGTTTTGGCTGCAGGCGACGTCGTTTTATAAGCTAGTAGCAGAAAGAGGACCATGGAGTTCTCTCTCTAGATGGGCTCTTGAAGCTTACTTGAAAGGTGATGTGGGGAAGGCTTTTATATTGTATTCGAGAATGTCGGAGCTTGGTTATGAAGTAGCACAAAGTAATGCTGCCTGGATCCTAGATAAATACGGGGAGAGGAGCATGTGCATGGCAGTTTCTGGGTTTTGCACAGACAAGGAGAGGCACGAGCGGGCTCATTCCTTGTGGTGGCAGGCCTCTGAACAGGGAAATGAACATGCTGCATTGCTTATTGGAGATGCATATTACTACGGTCGGGTAAGTCTACTTGTGCTCGAAGTTTAAGAATTGTTCTGTTTTCAGGAAAACTGTTAACATTACGGACAATGCACCTAATTTTACCTATCCTATTTCCAAGAGATCAAAAAATATAGACTAGCTCAACTGATTTCTACGGGGATCTTACTCGGGTTCTCAGGGTACAGAGAGGGATTTTGTGCGTGCAGCTGAGGCATACATGTATGCTAAATCTCAATCAAATGCACAAGCCATGTTCAACCTCGGTTACATGCATGAGCATGGTGAAGGTCTTCCCTTTGACCTCCATCTTGCTAAACGTTACTACGATCAGGCCCTCCAGAGCGATGTTGCCGCCAAATTGCCTGTCACGCTTGCTCTTGCGAGTTTATGGGTTCGCAAAAACTATGCTGATACCGTTATGGTAAGAGAGAGGGTGATGATTTATCCGAATTGTTTGAGTGAAACAGAATGAGCAAAGCTCACGTTTTTTTTTAAATAATGGGATGCAGGTACGAGTACTGGATTCCTTGCCAGAAGTGTATCCAAAGGTGGAGGAATGGGTAGAGAATGTGGTGTTGGAAGAAGGCAATGCAACCATACTAACTCTCTTCCTCTGTCTTGTCACCGTTTTATATCTCCGGGGGAGACAACGTAGACAGGTGGTTTTGGATCCCGTCGGTGCTGACGTGGCACAGCCCCTCGCCGGACCAGTAGCCTTTCCCTAGTGATCGGAAAATAAGATAAACCAAGCACCAACTATACCGGTTACTACTCTGTACAGTTCTAGCTTAATTACGTACTCACGTCTCACCATAGTTTTAAGGGAGACGAGAAACTTTCTACTTTTACTCCCTTTTTCCTCTAGTGTAAAGCATAGTTTTGTTATATTAGGACTGATTTTGTAGGTTTTATTAGGACTGATTTTGTAGGTTTCTCTGTAACGCGTTTCGATATTTTATCTACCCTACCCGTATGAAATTTTGAGAATACAGTAATTGTTACATATCTATGTATTACCTTTTGGATTGGAGTGTATGACTTGCATGCCAATTTTTTTTTTTTTTTTTTGCTGAAAATGCTAGTGTTCATGACTTGCATGTCTAATTTACTTCTTTCTTTAATTAAATTGAATCCACGAAGGTGAACAATCGTTGAATATGCAGTTTATTTTATTCATTATGTATGGTTTAATACGAATCCCATGATGAACTTGCGTTTGAGCGGTGGTGTTCACGTTCAGCCAAAAACAAATAATTTAGTAAGAACAGAAAAAAAAAAATATTGATTTAAAACTCAATGAATATTTTCACTCCTTATAATAATCATTAACATGATTCGAATTTGTATCCAACATCTCAGTTTCGTCTGTTTGAATCAATCAATCGTCGTCTTGTCGGAGAAAGCATGTCGCTGATGGATAATCTGTTAGGTATCCTCCGCGTTCGCGTCAAACGCGGCGTTAACCTCGCCGTCCGTGACGTCTCCAGCAGCGATCCTTACGTCGTCCTCAAGCTTGGCCGTCAGGTAGGGTCCTCTAACTTCTTTCAAAGATTGTTTCACCGACTCACACACACAAACTCTCAAATTCTTCTTTCGCAGAAACTCAAGACCCGTGTGGTGAAGAAGAACGTAAACCCACAATGGGAAGAAGATTTAACATTCACAGTCACCGACCCGAATCTCCCGCTTAATCTGGTAAAAATTCTTCCTTTTTTCTAAACCGGACCGGTTTACAGATTGCAATAATCGTCTCGGTTTAAATTCGAAAACAGGTTGTGTACGACCACGACTTCTTTAGCAAGGATGACAAAATGGGAGACGCAGAGATCGATTTAAATCCTTACATCGAAGCCTTACGAATGGAACTCTCCGGTTTACCGGACGGTACAATCATAACGACGATCCATCCGAGCCGGTCCAATTGCTTGGCTGAGGAAAGCTTCATACGGTGGAGCAACGACCGAATCGTTCAGAACATTTGTCTCCGTCTCCGTAACGTCGAGCGTGGTGAAGTCGAGATTGAGCTCCAGTGGATTGATCTTCCCGGTTCTAAAGGTTTGTGAAAAACCATATTTTGTGCGTTTACTTTATTGGGCCTTACTTCCTTAGCCCATTACATAGTACAAAGTACAAACATTAAATTTTAAAGCCGGTTAATACGAGGCGGTTTGGTTCGGTTCGGTTTCCGGTCCGATGAATAAAGTTAAAATATTCACATATGATATATTTAATTTTATTGTCTGTGTGTGTGAACCATTGGGTTTTGCGTCTCTACCCAAGACGGCACGAATTTTAGTGATTGATGTTTAGTTTAAAGGAATCGTCGCGTTATCGTGAGGACAAAGATATGTTTACTTCGTATATTCTTTCTTTATTTTTTGTCTTTTGGTTTTTCTCTTAACGAAGTTAAGAAGGGAAAAAAGAAGAGATGAAAAAGATACTTTATTGCAGCAATAGCAGCTTTTGAGGAACACAATACATATTTTGAAATGAAGTAGAAAAAGTTGGTAATTTTTTCAGATCCTTTTTAATATTCTCTGTTCTATATCTCTCTATATTCTTTTATAGGTTCAGCCTTTTAGAGAACCCAAAACCGTGCAAACGAAACTATAAAATTAAATTTTAATTATATAAAATAAAAGGTTTTATGAAAGCATCTGTATATACTTTTTCCATTGATTCGTAGCCGTAGATCGGTATTTGGTCTGATGTTTTCTTTTGGTCGGGGAAATCTTTCGAAATTATAAAACAGACCCCTTAGTCCTAATTCATATTTTAAAAACATCCCCTATGTTTTATAATGTAAATTTTACGCAGAAAAGATGGAAAAGTTGAGAGAAAAAAAAACAATGAGTTCGGACTTTGGGAGCTTAATGAAGCTGACAAGTGCCACGCCTCTACTTTTAATTTCAAACTTTAGCCATAGAGCCCATCATTAACTTCTACGCATGCCCTCCTCATTCTCTCTCTCTCGCGTTCTCTTTTCTGTAATACATTTTTTTTTACTTCGCTTTTCGTAGCAAAAAGAACAGAGAAAATTTGGGATAGACTAACCATATCCATTAAGACTAACCAGTCTCGTACACATTATCGGTATTCGATTTATTATCTTTATTCTTCGACCTGGAAAAAATAGCCGTTTTTTCTTAGTCAAGTTATAGTGTTATACAGTCGTACTATCTACAATCGTTCTCGGATTTATTTCTTACTCTATTACTAATATATGCAGTAGTATATTGTAATATATGTGTAGACTGTGTAGTAAATTGGATATTAGTTTAACTAAAGTGTAATGATATTTATATAAGTTCGGGTCATATAAACTGTTAGAGCATCCGTTTTTTTTCTTGGATATCAAACTCCATCTTTAAATTGATGTCATTGAAGATATCATTCATTTGTGTTTGTTAGCGCAGAACATTTCATGTCAAACACGAATCTTCATTACTCATCATCCGTCGGTTTACTACTGGGATTATTTGATTGATTACAATTGAAAGGCTTGCTTTAGCGAAGCGTGTTTAAAGCATAAACGCATGGATCTGAATATACATGCAAAATGCAATACATTATTTCCCCTTGGCACGAGAAGCGTATGCATACACATAGTAAATTTTTTAAGAAACTAATCATATGTTTTTTTACTAATCATATAGTTAATTAATATTCTTTTAAAATCATGTAGTTGTATTTTGTGACCCGTCCGAGTAATAATCGATAGCTAAATAATGAATTTTCATTTTGTGGCTGATAATTTCCGATTTAAAAATTCTTAAGCCGTTTTTTAATGCATTTTTCTATAACAAATACTATTAAGTAATGAGACTCCTAATAATGTTCCTAAGCGATTGTAGCTTTTATAAAATGGTACATATAAAAAATTCCATCTTTTGTAATCAATCTCTTACCGCATGAGAAAGACGTATAAAGTGAATAAACCTATTTATATTTTTCTTAACACAACTAGCTATACATCTCTCTATCTAGTTACTATAATTATATATTTCACTCAATAAACTAAACTCGAACTCGGATCTTTGTATATGAAGTCACGGTCCAAAAGATTATTTATTTAAAGTTGTGTATACGTATTTAACCAATCTAAGATACTAATTAGTCAAACGATTTGACCAATATAAGATCATTTGATTAATCTATGATCAAATTGTGAAGTTTTTTGTGGGAAGAAAAAAGAAGGCATGATTTGATGCACAACATGCTTAACATTCTTATTGGATAACATTTTTATTGAGACTAGTTTCTTGATTTTTAGGATCAGCCATTAAATCCCATTTAATTTATATATTAATGCAAGTCAAAATAGGCTCGAAAGTGTTTAATTAGTCAAAAATTGCTTTACGATACCTAAATATCTTTACTGGCTGCGATTCTCTTTTCCATTTTTCCCGTTTCAAATGTTTGCTAAAAGGTCATTTAAATTTTCTCGTTTCAAGTGTTAGCGAAAAGGTCATAAGTAGAAGCGGTGCAAATATAGTAACAAAGAAAAGCGCACTAATTTGAGTTAGGTAATATACTATTACGGCACGAAGTCGCAATTGAAAAGTGAATTTAGGCATTGTGAATATGTCGAGTTTGAGACCTTTCTTCCGGTGTATATAGACACGACTTATTTCAGTTTCACATGCTTTTGTTTTTGAAAGAACGAAAACATAATTCCATCAACATAGAGTAAGTGTGTAAAAACATATAGTATCGATTATGTTTCGAGATTCCAATAAATAGCGACGAAACTGGAATGGTATTAATAATTATATATTACTATATCGTACGTAAAAACAAAAGATGATAAACATTGGGAAAATAAAAAGCTAGAAAGGAAAAGAGAAGAAAAAAGAAAAGAGAAGAGGTGGGTTTGTATGGGATGATGAGAAAATATGAAGAGCAGGCTGTTGATGGAATATTGTGTTTCCTCAAATATCAGCACTCCTCATTATATCAACAGATTGCTTTTTAAAATTTGTTTGTCGTCCAACCAATTGCTTTTGTACGGACTTTCTTTTATATAAAACCAAATTTTGGAAAAAAAAAGGCAGGAAACTAAAAAGAAAAATATAACAAAATGCAGCAAACACATAAAAGAACCCATCAGAGTGATTTATGTGCTCAAACTAAAATCACCCTCTTCTCATCATTTTTTCCAAATTTGGTACAATTGTATTTCTTCTTAAAAAAAATCATGTGTTTTCTATAAATTTACGGTTTTCTAGTAAGTATTTATTTTCATTTTATATCATGATTTTATCCTTGAAAAACAAAAAAAAAAGACCTCATCATTTTATTTAGTAGATTTAATCGATAACATAAATTCAAATAAACTCTGAAATTAGAAAAAAATAAGTATTAAGCAAACAAATAGATAATTACCAAATACAAAACCCAAAAAAAGAAGAAGCAAAAACAGAGCCTTTGCTTTATTTATTTATTTGACATCCAACAGAGCCTCTGCTTTGGACGACTCAAAGCGCACAAGGCCGACTCTTTCACTATCCCCAAAGCTCCACCACGAACCCAACCACCATTTTTATTTCGTTTCTATTACATTCAATTTTCCTTTTTTTTTATCGTTTCTCACTTTCATAATTATATCACAAAAAAAAAAATCTTAAAATGAATATTTTACAAAATTCTCTAGTACTATCATTTTAGTTACGTTCGAATCGACTAGCTCTAGCTATTCGCATTTTTCTTTTAATTTTTATTTCAACCCTTAAATTAAGCTTTCTTAAAATGAATATTTTACAAAATTCTCTAGTACTATCATTTTAGTTACGTTCGAATCGACTAGCTCTAGCTATTCGCATTTTTCTTTTAATTTTTATTTCAACCCTTAAATTAAGCTTTCTAGAAATAAAATAGGTCGAACAAACCTGTACTCGGGCAGCGAACGATAAAGATAGAAATAATCAACAATAACACATTAGGATTTAAAAAGAATATCAAAAGAAATGTGGTAGTTTTCTGAAAGGAATAAAAAACAAAAAAAGAATATAAAAATGTGGTCTCTTCTCAACACTCCTCTTTACTCTTTTTTTTTTCCGCTCTTCACCACTTTCCCTCTAAACTAAAGAAAGACACTTCTCCATCTTCTTCTTTCTCTATTCACTCTCTCTCTCTCTCAAGATAACACGATGATAACGGCGACGGACTTTTACCACGTCATGACGGCGATGGTACCGTTATACGTAGCCATGATCCTCGCATACGGCTCCGTCAAATGGTGGAAAATCTTCACACCGGATCAATGCTCCGGCATAAACCGTTTCGTCGCTCTTTTCGCCGTCCCTCTCCTCTCTTTCCACTTCATCGCCGCCAACAACCCTTACGCCATGAACCTCCGTTTCCTCGCCGCCGATTCTCTCCAAAAAGTCATCGTCCTCTCTCTCCTCTTCCTCTGGTGCAAACTCAGCCGCAACGGCTCTCTCGACTGGACCATCACTCTCTTCTCCCTCACAACTCTCCCCAACACACTCGTCATGGGAATCCCTCTCCTCAAAGGCATGTACGGCGATTTCTCCGGCGAACTCATGGTCCAAATCGTCGTTCTCCAGTGTATCATCTGGTACACTCTCATGCTCTTCCTCTTCGAGTACCGTGGCGCGAAGCTCTTGATCTCCGAGCAGTTTCCCGACACAGCTGGTTCCATTGTCTCAATCCATGTTGATTCCGACATCATGTCTTTAGATGGTCGGCAACCGCTTGAGACTGAAGCTGAGATTAAAGAAGATGGGAAGCTCCACGTCACCGTTCGTCGCTCTAACGCCTCGAGGTCTGATATCTACTCGAGGAGGTCTCACGGTTTATCGGCGACTCCTCGTCCTTCGAATCTAACCAACGCGGAGATTTACTCGCTTCAGAGCTCAAGAAACGCGACGCCACGTGGCTCGAGCTTTAACCATACTGATTTTTACTCTATGATGGCTTCTGGTGGTGGTGGTGGTGGCCGGAACTCGAACTTCGGTCCCGGAGAAGCTGTTTTCGGTTCCAAGGGACCAACTCCTCGGCCTTCTAACTTCGAGGAAGACAGTGGAGGTAAGACGACGGC